AATGCTACATATGTGTTCCTAGAAAATCTCACGTTCTTTAAAATTAAACATTAAACTAACAGGGCATGTGACAGAAGTAGTGTTGATACAGATCACTTACAACTATGTAGCTTTGCAAAGTATAGCCCTGATGAAATATCAATCCAAATGCTAACACAGTCAAATACCCCTGGCATTTATACCTAGAATCAGTCCAGACTTTGCAGTCATATCCTTTAGGCTTCCTACTTACTCCTTGAAGACATTTTCTTCTAACGGAGAACAACTTCATCAATAATAAGAATATAATTCAGAAATACCCTTCATTAAAACGTTTTGTTTCCGTAGCAGGAAAATGTCTTCATGTCCCCATTTGTACGAGCAACCTCCCAAGATAGATTAAAATAGAGGAAAGTCAAGCAGTTCTTTAAGCTTGTAAAGTAAGCACTTGGCAATAAAGGAAAGCCATTCTATAGAGTGTTTATATTTTTTCTTAAACTGTGAAAAACTCCTGCTTCTGATTACTTCAGATCATTAACATGCTGGAAATAAAATCTGTCACAACTTTGCATTATACTCACGAGATTCTTCTATCTACTAGTTACGTATAAACTATTCCTCACTGAAGAATCGGTCAGATTGGGGCTAAAATAATTATGTATAAGCAGTAGAGAACGAATGGGTAGAATAAACATGGGTTAAAGAAGGTCAGGTTTGGTATATCCCAGATTGGGAATGTAGTCAAAATCTGGAAAGATGAGCTTCAGACTAGCAGAAATATGTAAGCAGTGTGGTTCAAAACAAAATTAATTTCCTAAAGCATTATTTTGTGGGTATGTATCCTAACCTCATCCTTACCCCGGCTTCTGCCCATGTTAGATAACCAGTTAATTGCGGCATAATTTCTCATTCTTTCTAGAGCATAATGGTGCCAGTACATACTAAATGAATAATCTGTGTCTCTTTCCCACATAGTCTGAACACAGCCTTAGTAGCCATCTCAATACAGCATTCCAAGGCATTACTACCAACCAGTCTGACTTGGTAGATCATGTGCTGTTATTTATTGACAATTCACTGCAATCCAAGCACTGTGCTAAGTCCTTTACCATAATAGTTATATTTAGCCTTTGTAGCATTCTAGATGGTAGTAGTGTTTAAATCCTCATTTATAAGTGAGAGGATGGAGGCTTAAGTATTATGAAATTGATTTGTAACAATAAGTCACCCCAAAGCTTTTAATATAAGGATATAAAATTAACAACATCAATATAAATAAATTTAAGAAAAAATGATATTACAGTTGATGGTAGGTACTTGAGCTGAAGGGTTACGATGAATTAGAAATGGGAAATCATTAGAAGACCCTGAAATAATGAAAAAAAATAGAGGACTCACAGGAAGTCAGTTGGAAGATTGGGGTGGATGTTGGGAGATAAAGCAGGCCTAAGAGGTGATAAAGGCATTCTCAGAGTTTGACTTGGAAATCTCTAGTTTTAGTCAGTATTAGGCCTGACTTACTTCGTATGCTTGGAAATCCTTGAAGTCACCTGTAATACTAAAGTAAATTTCCTTTCTATTTGAATTAGATGAAGTGACTATTCCTTTAACCAGTTGATGCCTAAGAATAAAGATTAAGAATATAGGATAGAAAGAAAGATTTGTGAAATATACCATCCTGATCATGTTGAATTTGATGTTGGAATGTCCAGCGGGCATTTGACTAATGCAGAATCTCTGCGTTAGAGATTTTAAACCCATGAACTGTAGATAATAGCTGAAATTGTACGATGGAATGGGACCCTTCCCTAGAGAGTGAGGAGAGCAGAAGGCTTGGAATGAACTACCCACACCAGCATTCCAGGAGCTGGCTGAAGAAGGGGGCCTTGGACTAGAGAACTAACAGAACAGTCAGAGGGAGGAGGAGAGCCAGAGAGGCTGTGTCAGCAAGTCAAGGTAGTAGTGTATCAAGAAGAAACAAACCACTGTCATATACTCCAGAGAGATCAAGGAAGATGGGAATTGAGCATCCCTTCGATACGGCACTGATGTCTGTGATGGTTTTGCCAGCTGGCAAGATTTTCATGGAATTCAAATTGGAATCATATTTCAGTAGGTCAAAGAGAAATTAAAAAGTCAGAAAATACAGAAAAATGTATGAGTTCATCCTGATGAGCCATCAGAAGGGTAGTGGAAATATATCATCATGATGGGATATGGGGTTGGGCATGAGTTAGCGCTGAAATAGACCTTAGAGATATTCAAATAGCAACTTCTTATTTTAACACATAAAGAAATCAAGACCCAAAGAAGTTTAGTAGTTTACAGCATGACAAAACCAGTAAATGGCAGGTAGAACGGATAGCATATAGGTCTCATGAATCCAAATCTACCCAGATACATATGTAAATTCCTAGCCCAAAAGGGACAGAAAACTTTTTTAGTGGTTTCTAATGTTAATCTTACTGTTTTAACATTTGAATTTACTCTTTCTTAGAGAAAGGTATGTGCTATGGCTGTTCTAAATTATATTTATCTATATGCCCAGCGTACTGTACATGCAAAAAATGTGTTGATAAAAAACCACCAGCTGGATCTGAAACAAAATGCCAAACTCAGTCATGTTGCAAATGTGCAAAATTAAATCAAAATATGTATTCATAACCAATTAAGGGAGAAACATGATACTAGAGTTTTGTTTTTAAAGTACTTATTGAATTAGAAATGTAAAATACTGAATCTCAAAATAACCGTTCTTATGGGTGGTGTGTCTTATCTTCAGGCAGTCGTATGAAAATGAAGTATTTTTGAGCATCCATATCAGAACATAACATATTTCGTTTTTGGTATAAGAGCACCACCTATGGGTGTCTCAGTTATTCAGGGGGGAGAAATTTAAAACCAAACCTAATAAAATTCCAGCTTTTCACCAATAACTGGTCCATCCACTTACATAAAGGCTAACAATTGTCTACGTTGCCATAAATTATCCCTACCTGGTTTTTGCTTTGGCATACTACTCCGAAATGCTTTGGCAAGAGATAGTGAAGAAAGAAAAAGTTCTTATAAATTACTTTGGATGTCTTTTCTTTAATTATTGTGATAACTCATTAGAGCAAAGTTAAAAGCAAAACTCTGACTTCATGGTCAGTAAGCTCACATGCGGATAAATTTAATCATTTTCTAGAGTATCATTCATCAAAATTTTTAAAAAGTTTATAAGGGAAATTTTACTCAATGAAATTTAACAAAAAATATTGGAAGCTTTGACTGTGAATGGGCAATAAGATGTGTACTAGGCTCTTGATATATCCTTGTATTCTATGCTGTAAAGTTTTTTTTTTTTTTTAAGTGATTAAAAACAAGATCCTTTTGGTGCAGTGTTCCCTAATTCCAGGGTAGACCCATTTTAGGCATGAACATTTTTTTTCTTCACTAAAGTACATTTTAAAACCTAGATTTTTCTTCAGAGATTGGGTTATTCTATAGAAGTAAGGATTGAGTCTTTAAGCAATATAGCTTGCTTTATTTTGATCATTATAGATAAATTTTTTTTAATTGCATAATATACTTCTTGGCATTCTAACTTAAGTTGAATGGATATAACCTCTGCTATCAAAAAAATGACCATTTTTACAAATTATAATTGTAATAGGGATTCTTGCCTATCTACAAATTGGGTTAACTAATTTTTAAAAACAGCAGAACTCAAAAAGCATGAAAGTTCAGGCCACCTATTACACGAGGCACTTTGCTCACAAAGATTCATTTATTCGCTCAACAACTCTTTTAGCTAGGAATGACCACTAATTAGTATGAAAGGACAGTCCTCTCTTACCTTTTGGAAGATAGGCAGTACTATGCATATTCTGAGCTGTCATGGTTTTTTAGTTCAGCACATACTTTATTCTGAAAATTGCCTCCATTACTTCTAATAACTGTGTGTACCTCTGGCCGCTACTTTCCTCACTTCTAATTTGCGACTTCTTATGTATCTGATTTTAAAAATCAGATAATCTAATATATTGAAATTACATCAAATAAGAGGTTTTAGGGTTTTAAATCTTACTGAAAGCTTATACATTCATCATGTATTTTTTGTAGCCCAGTGGCTGTTTTTTAAATTGAGGGAGAATAAATTGTCACATTATCTGCTGACTTCTGGATAGGTAAAATGTGCACTGTGTCACTGTGAGAGTTCAAGATAATGCAAGAACATAGCAAGAACTACTACCAAAGTGTTGGTAGTAGTTTGAGTTTATTCTGTATTTCTTCACGATATTCAGATCTGATCACATACTGATATTTTAATCACTATTTCAAGCCTTTATTTTTCACATAATTTAGGAATCATTTATCACCCTGTAATAAAATTTAGAAATATTCATAGAATAAATTGAAGATTTCCTTTGCAGTAATTTTGAAGTATAGTGTTTTGCTGTCTTTATCCAGTCATCCACTAACTTCTTAATGACCCAGCATCTTACTGTTGTGTTTATATGTGCTTCCCCTTAATTATTTTGTCCAGAAGACTATTTATATACATACATATGTATATAATAGTTTTTTAATTTAAAGTATCCAGAAAATAAAATGGTACTTTTAAGGATCTAAACACAGTAGTTCAGCAAACATTGAACTTCATAGGTAGTTTATAAGAAAGAAAATGAATTTAAAAGGTGAGTTTTGAAAAAAGATAGATGGATCACTTGATTAGAATCCATGGCTAAAGCTCGTAATCCTGACTCTTAAACTGTTATTCAGAGATCTAATTTGAAAACTTCCATGCCTCCCCAAAATGTGTACTTAATTAGCATAAGATCCTTTGACTAAGGGGAAGAAAATAAAATATCTTATTAGAATAATAAAAACTCTTTAAGGTTGATAATACCATATTTTATTGTATATAATTTGATCTCTAAAGTGTTGTGGGTTTTTTTGTTTTTTAAATAAAGACTGATTTACTTAGTGCTCTGTTTTAAAGTATAAGAATTAGCTAAGATTGCTTTGGCTTCTTACAGCTTGTGGAGAGACTCCAGAACAAATTCGAGCACCAAGTGGTATAATCACAAGCCCAGGCTGGCCTTCTGAATATCCTGCCAAGATCAACTGCAGCTGGTTCATAAGGGCAAACCCAGGGGAAATCATTACTATAAGGTAATGCCGATACCTTTCTGTATTATGTATAATATTTTATTATATATATACTTATATATATATAATATAAACATACATGTTTAACATATATTTTATTATAAATATAAATATTACTGTATGTTCTGTATATAATATAAACATATATATGTTTAATATATAATATTTTATTATAAATATGATATTTTTATAGAATATAAATTCAGGTTCCAAGTATCATCCCTCAGCATGCAGTTATATTAAAAGACAATTTTCTAAAAATGTAATAAACTGTAGTTACCAGTACCATATTAAGAGTAGGAGTAATGGCCCATCCTTCCTGTACTGTATGGGTATATGTTTTGAATGTTTTCTGATGGTGGTAGTGGATTTCCACTGAGCCATCCATATTCTTGTAGGTCATTTTTTAACAAAAGGTGCACATTTGAGAAGTAGCTTATTAGGGTCAAGAGTGTAACCTTTAGCTATGGGACAAATAAACAAAACTCACTAATCCACTTGGACACCTAGCCCATAACCTTAGTCTCATTAGTAGAATCCTCTATCTTAATAAGCTAAAACATGATTGTAGTTTTTATCTGTATACATGTACGTATATAAAACTTGAAACAGGCTGATAATGGATAAACGTATCTAGGAAAATCTCCTTTTTTGTAACGTTGAAACAAAAGAACTTCTGTTAAGAATATAAAATGAAAGATACTCCTAGAAGAAACATAAGTTTCTAAGAATAAATATAAATAAGGAAGATTAAGATTCACTTTAGTAACATTTAAAATTGCATAGAAAAACCTTGAGGATAAGATACTAAGGAGAAAATATTCAGTGGAACTAGATAATGCTTGCTTAAGGAAGTTATATCAAGGCTATTAAAAAAAAAATGCCTGAAGAGGAGAAAAAGAAAAAAAATAGTGTGCTTAAAGAACTGTGGTTGGAAATGAAACACAAATAAGAAAGTCACGCCCACCACGGAGGCAGTGTCTGCAACAGCACAAAGGCCAGCATCCGTGTCTTCAATATTGTTTCATTAGGAACATTTTTATAGGCAAGAGTATGGAATTTTAGATTTAGAAGAGACCGTGCACATCATGGACTCAAATCCCTTCTTTACATTTTTTAAAACTAAGATTGTAAATTTAGCCTACTTTTGTGGGGGTTTTTGAAGTATAACTAACATACAATGGTATATTCGTTTCAGGTGTACAACATCCTGATTCAACAGTTCTCTACATTATTCAGTGCTGACCATGATAAAGTAGTCACCATCTGTCACCGTACAATGTTATTATAATATATTGACTACGTTCCCCACGCTCTATTTTTCATCTCGGCGACTGACTTATTTTATAATGGGAAGTTTGTACCTCTTCATCCCCTTTATCTGTTTCATCCAGCTTCCTTTTTTATATCCACTAACTAATGAGACACCCGCTGTCTCTTGAGAAACACAACTGTGTCCTATCCCCCTTTGTCTGTGGAAGCCGTAAAACAGGGGCCATCTGGTTTGCTTTCCATCTGGTCTCCTGCCCCAGGCCAACATCTTCTGGAACACCAGAGCTGAGCTTCTCTGGAAACCGTTCTGCTCTGTGAGAAGGGTGAATGTCTTGCTGGATGGATTGATAAGATGTGCTACTAAGGTTATCCTTCCGCAGCACTGCCCGAGCTGGAACCCAGACGATACACCTATTTTCTATTACTTATAATATGTTTACAAAGTAGCATTTTTACCATAGGAATTCCAAGTATAAGATTTCTTTCCACATAAAACTAGAGTTTTGGGAAATTTTTATCTTTTAACCTAAAAGTCCAACCCCAAAATTAAATTTGCCACCTACCAGCTCAGTTCCATAAAACTTGGCAATTCTTGCCAGCACGGAGGAGGCTGCATGGAACACTGCCACTTGGTTCTTTTTTTATTATTATTATTTGAGAGACACAGAGAGAGCTTGAGCAAGCAATGGAGAGGAGCAGAGGAAGAGAGAGAGACAATCTCAAGCTGACTCCACGCTTAGTGTGGAACTCAACACCGGGCTCAATTTCATGACCTTGGGACCATGGCCCAGGCCAAAACCAAGAGTCAGATGCTCAACTGACTGAGCCACCCAGGTGCCCCTGCCATTTGGTTCTGATCATGTGTTGGACCCTTTAGATTTTACAAAGATACACCAAAACCAAGCACAATGCTGAAATGCAGAACAAAATTAGAGATGGACCATACATCTAAAGGAAAATTTCCCAAATTCCAGACAAAGTTAGTGAATTTGGATTTACCCAGCCTAATGAGATCGGAAAGTGATTTTAGTAATTGTCGTAGTTCTTACTGAAATCATTGTCATGGTAACACCAAACTTGAGAAGGGTCGCATACATACAAAGACAACCAAGTTTCACTTGTGAATATTGGTGTAATCCTAAATTGTTCAAAAGAAATTTATACCATAATCAAATGCGGCTCATTTAGACATACAAGTCAGTCACTATTAGAAAATTTTAAATGAATTTACCATATTGACAAGTCAAAGAAAAAGTATATGATTATCTAGAATAGATGTTTTAAAGCATTTGATAAAAAGAAAACATTCATTCCTGAGTTTAAAATAAAATTAAAATCTAGATAAAGGAGGGAAACAAATTATAGACTATAAACAATATTTAGAGCTGTCCTTGTAAAAACTGGTTAGGGGCGCCTGGGTGACTCAGTTGGTTAAGCATCTGACTTGAGCTCAGGTCATGATTGCACAGTTTGTGAGTTCAAGCCCCACATCAGGTTCTGTGCTGGCAGTTCAGACCTTGGAGCAGGCTTCAGATTCTTTGTCTCCCTCTCTCTCTGTCCTCCCCCATTCACATTCTGATTCTCTATCAAAAATAAACAGACTTTAAAAAAAATTTTTAAAAACTGGTTAAAGATGGTAACGTAAAGGCATTTTTACCTTACTCCTCTCCCTTGAAACCTACCAAAATCAACAAAGGCCATCTTATCAAGAAGAGATAGAGGATTAGATTCTAATTGCTTGCTTGAAGCCAGGGACTGGAGTCAGGCTATTGTGCTCAAGAAAGAAGGCTGAAAAGAACTTCTACTAACCACTGCCTGAGTTTGTATGGGGCTGAGAACTTAAAGAAGTGGGAAGACATACCCTAACAAATAGGAATTTAACCAGGCCACCTAAAGACTCCGTGACAGGACCTATAATGCTGTGAACCACCATGTTAAGACTGTTCTGGAATGCAGACCCAGTTGGAAGTAACTATAAAACACAGGCTGTGGAAGAATATAGAGAGAGAATGGATTAAAAGGAGAGAGAGTGAACCAGAAAAGCGTCTAAAGAATAAGCCTTATTTCCAAAATGTATGGAAAATGTTAATACTGACAGAAACAGCCACAAAATCCAAACACAAATTTACTCCAGACGTAATACACTTACTATATCAGGTTTTTTTTGTTTGTTTGTTTATTTTATTTTAATTCCAACATAGTTAACATACAATGTTACATTAGTTTCACCCAGTGTTCATCACAACAAGTGCATCAGGGTTTTTTTTTTTCCTTAAATTTTTTATGCTGTGAACACTTTGGTAGTTAATGAAATCTATAGATCCTTTCCCAGAATGTTTTTAAACTCATAAATCATAATACACACCATTACAAAGGGAACCAATTATATTGAACAAAGCTATCTGATATTTTTTACAAATATGTAATATAGTAATACATGCTTATTTATTAACATATTAGTAAGTGATGGTTCTAACAACTACTGTAATTCCGAGGTGATTTTGAGTGTAAATAGTGATTCTAGGTATCTATTAAAACTGAAATGTAATGTGTAAATATCTGTGATTTCTGTTGGTAAGTGACAGGTACTGTAAATACTATAATGGTTTGTTTATATTCATAAGTGAAATTTCAAATTTCAGTTAGAGATTAGTGAAAATAAGGTTGTAAATTTTTCCACCAAATTTGACATTTTGAGAGGAGAATAGAAACACTGAATACTCTTACTTGGACTTTATTAGAACAAAAGTATGTTTTAGTATTTGAATTACAACATCAAAAGATAACTCCTGAAACAATAGAAAGCAGTCTTGAGTAAAAGTAAAAGAAACTTTAAAAAAAAAAAACCCAAAACCTACGAATACAAAAGAAGAAAGGAGGAAAATTAGAACTCTGATAGAAAGGCCATTCAGGAAAAAGCTCATTTAACCTTTAAAAGACAGACCATCTGATTGGGTTTATTGGTTTGTTGATTGGTATAATCCCCCTATAAAGGGCTTCTAAGAACATACTAAAACAAAACTAACACAGAAAGTTTAAAAAGGGGGGTGGGGATAAAAAAAGATAAACTTCAGAAATACTGAGAAAGAGAAAGCTAGTGTAGGAAGATTAACATTAGATATAATTGAGCTTAAAACACAAAATATTAGTAACAAATGGAATAAGCCACTAGGAAGATATAATCTTGGTAAACTTTGTATACCTCCTAACACAGTCTAAAATACAGGCAAAGTAGCAAAATATGGGGAATTATCAAGCAAGTTTGACTAAGCCAGTTAGTGGAAGTTTATAAACATACCTTTAATTAGAATTTAATAGATTAAACAGAAAAAAAATTAGTAAAGATAGAAGATTTGATAAACAAAATTAACAAGCTTAATCCAGTAGGAACATGTATTATATATGTGTATATTATACTTATTTCAATGAATAGAGAATATATATATTCTTTTCAAAGACATATGGAACATTTATAAGAAATTGATAATGTATTAAACCACAAAAGAACTCTGAATTCCATTTTTTAAGACTTTACATCATTCAGAATGTGTTCTCTAACCACAATGTAATTAAATTAGAAACCACAATAAAAAAGCCATATGTTTGGAAACATATTCCTAAATAACTCCTGCATTAATGCTGGAAATCACAGTGGTACTGTACTCATAAAATATTTTGAAAATAACCATAATAAAAGTATTATATATTAAAACTGTTGGAACACATTGGTAGAGTACCTAGTGAAAAATTTACAGCCTTTAATGCATTGAAATAAGTAGGATATGAAATAAATGAGCTCCCCATTTACTCAGGAGTTTAGAAGGAAAATTACAGGTGAAATCTTAAGTAGAAAAAATAATATGATCAGAAAAAAATTGAATTAACAATAAGATTCAATAAAACAAAAAACAGGCTTTCTGAAAACTTGGGGAAAATAGACAAATCTGAAAGCAAGACTGAGGAAAAAAAGGAAAAGGTACTAATAAAAGTGAGCAAAAGTGTCTATAACTACAAATACAATAATAGAGATTTAAAAAAAATTTTTTTTAACGTTTATTTATTTTTGAGACAGAGACAGAGCATGAATGGGGGAGGGTCGAGAGAGAGGGAGACTGCACAGAATCCTGAACAGGCTCCAGGCTCTGAGCAGTCAGCACAGAGCCTGACGCGGGGCTTGAACTCACGGACCACGAGATCATGACCTGAGCTGAAGTTGGACGCTTAACCAACTGAGCCACCCAGGCGCCCTTCTTTTTTTTTTTTTTTTTTAATTTTTTGAGATTTTAAAAGTCATACGGGAATATTACAAGTAGTTTGTGGTAACATTATTATACAATTAGATGAATCGGACCATTTTCTGGAAAATGTATATTACCAAAATTGGTTCAACAAGAATTAGAAAGCTAATTAAATCAATATTCGCTAAAGAAATTGGATCAATGTTCAGAATAGGATTCTAAACCTGAGTAATTTTACAGGCAGGTGTTACTAAATGAATAGATAAGGAAATCCTTAACCTGATGAAAGGTATCTGTTAAAAAAATTTTAAATCAAACTTAATATTGAAGTTAATTTTAGTGCCAAGGGCCAGGATGATGACGCATGTTTTCACTGCTTGTACCAGAACCCTCAGAAAATGCAACAAGACGATAAATAGAATTAGTAATACAAAAAATGGGAAGGAAGAGATGAGTCTCTCCTTTTTTTTCCAGTACTGTGCTATCTCCACAGAAAATCTAAGCAAATATAAAGACCACGGACATGAAATTTGTTTAATGTAAGAAAGTACGATTTACAGCTTTGTACCAATAAATTTTACTGTCAAGATAAAATGGTAATTTCTACAAAAATTTAAATGATCAAAGTGACTCAATACCAGTTTAGAAAAAGCTGATTAAACCAAAAAACGAAGAAATTAAAATTTTCAACTCTAGATCTATACTTGAAATAGGCACATGGCCCAGGTATGTGAACAGTCTTTGTTATATAAACTACTGTGAAGCATTAAAAAAAAGAAAACCGAAAAACTAATTTTGCTTTTAAATGTATCTTTTAAATTCTAAATGAAATATTAGCAAAACTAATCCAATAGCGTATGCATGAATAGATATTTCTTTTGTTCTGGACAAGGATCCTGCTTTCCTCAATCTTAAACATTTTAATGGATAAAAACATACTAAGGGATTCCTTAGCTTGAATCTGACTAGCCCTCCCATGAACAGTTATCAACTTTGGATAAAAGTTTTTTAAAAACTACTCAAAGGCACTGGAGAGTAATCAGAAGCTGGAGGAAACTGAAGGGGATTAAACTCTTAAAAGAAGGGATCCACACTGGTGAGATATGTTTGCTTCCTGTCTGTTCCCTAATCCGTGCAGAATGTAGTAACTAGAACTCAAGCAGACTGCCACAGTCTTGTCAGCTTATGGTTGTATCACAGGGTGGAGTTGAGGCTGTCAGAGTAGCTGGAAATTGAAAAGGCAAATCCAAAAAGGAGAGAGCTCCAATGTAGGAAGTCCTTACATCTACATATAAATTCTTCTCAAATTCCTTGCTGTTTTCTGAACTGTGCATGCTTAAGAGACTCCCAGGAGCCTTGTAGAAAGCTACGCAAGCATTTCAGTGCCTGTGTGGTGTAGCTGAGACAGAGTTTGGAGTCTGAAACTTGCTGAGTTTGACGAGCTTGTTAAATACCTTGGGATTTCATTGAAACCACAGAAATGTCATAGGTAAAGACAATGTCCTAAAATAAAGAGTTCACCTAAGACTAAGTAAGGGCAAAGCAGAGCCAAGCCTCCCTCCCACAAGTGCAGGATGACCAGACCAGGATGTTCCATGCATGATAGAAGAAAATAAGTGTAAGAATCTTGACCTGCCTCTGAGAACACACAAAAATTAATTCAAGATAAATCCTAGATGTGAATGTAAAAACTAAAACTCATATAAAACATTAGGAGAAAACATTGTTGAATATCTTGGGGTAGGCAAAGATATTTTAGAGAAGACACTAAAAGCACTGAACATAAAAGGAAAAATAGGCTTCATCAAAACTAAAAATCTCTGCTCAGGGAGCTTGGGTAGCTCAGTTGGTTGAGAGTCCAACTCTTGATTTTGGCTCAGGTCATGATCCCAGAATCATGGGATTGAGCCCCCTGTGGGGCTCCGCACTGAGCATGGAGCCTTGCTTAACAGTGTCTCTCTCTTTCTCTCTCCCCTCTTTCTCTCCCTCTGCCCCTCTCCCTGCTCATGCTCTCTCTCTCTCAAACTCAAAACAACTTTAAAAATTAAAAAAAAAAAAAAACACCCTCTGATCATTAAAAGATACAATGAAAAGGCAATTTATATAGACTAGAAGAAAATTATCAATACACATATCTAACAAAGAACTTGAATCCAGAATATAAAATTAATTTTTATAACTCAAGACAACACAATTTTTTTAAATGGGCAAAAGACTTGAACAGACACTTCACAGAAGATGTAAGAACAGCCAATAAGCACATGAAAAGATGTTCAACATCATTAGTCTTCAGAGAAGTGCACATAAAACCACAATGAGAGATGTCAGTTCATGCCAACTAATGACTGAAGTTAACAGGAGTTACCTCACCAGCTATTTATTGAGAGAATGCACGTGTGGATATCAGTACATACGACTTGTGTTACAGACATGCCCCCAAATAGGGACGTGTTTGTTCAACGTAAAGAATTTTTAAATGAATAAGAAAAACTTCTGATGGGTAAAGGATGATATAGCAAGGCAATTCATAGGAAAAGAAATAGTAAACTAGAAAAAGTGTTTCCATCTCGGTACATAAGGAAATATAAAATGGAACAGTGATAAATATTTTATCATTAATATAAGGTACTTTCACATACATTCAGTGGGAGTGAGTTGGTATAAATATTCCTGTCAGTGTCTATCAAATTTAAGGTGGAATTTTGTGTTTTGACCTAGCAATTCTACCTCTAGAAAAATTTGCCCTAGAGAAATATTTGCTCGTGTAGAGATACATGTATAAGGGTTCTTTAAAGCATTGTTCATAATAATGAGAAATTAGAAACAATCAAATTATCTGTCAGCCTTTGTTGTAGTTACTCAATACTTAAAGAGGAAATATCTTCATGTAATAATCCTTGGATAATTAACTTCTTTATCACTTGGATTAAGGCAGAGGCAAGAAGGTAAAGTCAGATACTCCCTTTTTGGTGGAGACATGTTATTGGAAAATAATATTTTAGTTTCTCTTTTTTCATAGCAGTAGCTAATTTTGTGTGTACCTTTTGATACCTTTTAATGCATGCCCATATTTTGTGAACTACAAGACAGTGTTTGACTATAATGTAACTTATGTTAAAAAAGAAGTCTTTCCAAACTTAGGGGTTTTTCACTGATAAAGATTTTTTGTTTGTTCACTTTTAACTTTTTTACTTTGCTCAGATTTATGTTATTTTATCTCCTGAAAGTGTAAGCTATAAGCTTCTCACTAAGCAAGCAGACGAACCAGTCTAAGAGGAGGCTGACTTTCTCTTTTTCACTTTAGCTTATCAGATTAGGTGTGGTGTTTCTGGTTCAAATACAGAATAATTTAGGATATTCTGAATTAGAAGTGGTCCTTCCTAAACACACACAAAGAAGAAAAAGGAACAAGGTGCCAACTATTACCTACGTTTTTTTAGCATTATTTTGGAATCTGGTATTTTTTATGAAGAAGTATTGTTCAGGAATCTGAGAAAGAGATACAAATGTTAGGAACATAGAAACAGTATTATTATTTGCTGATGATATGGCTGTATGCCTGGAAAACCCAGGAGAATCAATGAATATTGAATGAAGGCTTATGATAAAGTCCTCAGTTATTAAGTATTATTAAGTGAAATTTTTCCCCCAAATTACCCTTATTAATAGCCTTTTCTGACTTTTTACTTGTAGCTTTCAGGATTTTGATATTCAAGGGTCCAGAAGATGCAGTTTGGACTGGTTGACGATAGAAACATACAAGAATATCGAAAGTTACAGAGCCTGTGGTTCGACAGTTCCACCACCATATATTTCTTCACAAGACCACGTCTGGATCAGGTTCCATTCCGATGACAGTATTTCTAGAAAGGGTTTCAGACTGGCATATTTTTCAGGTGTGTTTTTAAAAAAAAAAAGAAGAAAGATAATGAACAGAATTCTGTAGTGTTAAGTACCAAGTCACTTTGGGGCTAGTCTTCTAAACAATATCTGTCTAATTGTGACTAGACCTTAAGAAGCTTGAGATTGAAGGGGCGCCTGGGTACCTCAGTCGGTTAAGCATCCGACTTCGGCTCAAGTCATGATCTTGCGGTTTATGAGTTCGAGCCCCATGTCAGGCTCTATACTGACAGCTCAGGCCTGGAGCCTCCTTCAGATTCTGTGTCTCCCTCTGTCTCTGCCCCTCCCCTGCTCACACTCTGTATCTGTCTCTCTCTCTCTGTCTCTCTCTCTCTCAAAAATAAACATTAAAAAAAAAAAAAAGGGTTGAGATTGAAGAAGGTTCAGGTGCCCTAAAGCACAGCACGGTTTCATAAAGGTGTTTTGTATATTCTAATGAACTGATTAATTTTATAAACTAAGGTCAATTTTGTTTTCAAATTTTAAATACATCAATTACTTTAATTAATTACTTTAATTAAATACTTAATTTTAAAATTAAGTCTTTTTGGGGTGTCTGGGTGGCTCAGTTGGTTAAGCATCCGACTTCAGCTCAGGTCATGATCTCACAGTTCATCAGTCAGAGCCCCGCATTGAATTCTGTGCTGTCAGCACAGAGCCTGGAACCTGCTTCAGATTCTGTGTCTCCCTCTCTCTCTGCCCCTCGCCAGCGCACACGCTCTCTCTCTCTCTCTCTCTCTCTCTCTCTTTCTTTCTCTCAAAAATAAACACTAAAAAAATTTAAGTAAGTCTTTTTTTCCCTCAAGTGTTTACTGACATCCTGAAAGTTACTTCAGAATATGTTTTTGTGTGTCTGAATTACCATGGTCTTCACAGCTTCGCAAAAAAGACCACTCTGTTCCACCTTCCTAGTTTGTAGTATCAAATCTTCTTTCACTTCTTTAAGTTATATCTGCTTTTTTGCTGAAAACCATTTTGTATCTTCTAAAATTTGTACTTGTCCTTTAGCTTTTTTTTCTTAAAAACACAGTCTTTGTAATACTTATTTAGCTTTCGAAGCACATTTTCTGTCACCTGCATACCAATAAATAAGAAGTTAATGGAGATGTATTATCCCAAACACTGTCAGTTTGGGGAACTGTCAGGAGCTAATGTTTGATTTTCTTTCCATGCCTCACTATTGGTGTATATTTAGCATTGTACACTACAATAATTGGAATTCTGTAGGTATTTCAGGTTTTTTCCTCTCTCCTTGCCCCTGCTAATTTGATGAATGAATTTATAACATAACTCAAATTCATGCAGTTGTGTAAAACAATAGAAATATAAAGTGGCAGTGTTGTGTTATGGTCACATGAATCATTATGAACCGTGTATAAAGTTAATCTTACAATAATCTTAGCAGAAATTTGGTTCTAAAGAATAGGATTACAAAATATACTGTAGGACACATATAGCAAAATATTGTGTGTATGTATATAGATATAGATATAAACAAGAACTAGAAAAGGATATGAAAAATAGGAAAAAAATTGATTTGAAAGGTGATTATTGTGGGTAAATTTTTCTTCATTTGAAAATATTCTAATGATGTTTATGCAATAAATTATTTTCAAATTTCTGCAGTAAGAGAGTTCTCTACAAAAGCAGAATTGTTCTTTGTTCCCCCAAGATTTTATTTAAATTCCAGTTGGTTAACACCCAGTATAATTTTAGTTTCAGGTGTAGAATTCAGTGATTCATCACTTACATATAACACCCAGTGCTTATCACAAGTGCCCTCCTTAATGCCCATCCCCCACCTAGCCCATTCCCCACCCACCTCCCCTCCAGCAACCCCTCAGTTTGTGTTCTCTTCGCTTTAGATCAAAATACTAAGGTCTTCATGGAACAAACAATAAGTGTTTAATGAATTGAACTGTTGAGTAATTAGTGAGCCAATGTTAGTTTGCCACTAGAACTGATCTATTTTGTAAAATAAGATTTTTTTAAACCCTATCACTTGGGCTTAGTTAATATTTATTATAAAAGTGTCACTTACTGTTATATATCTTTTAAAAGAGTATGTTTTTTTCTCCCTTCTTCCATCTCTGTCCTCCCCACATCCTCCCAGGGAAATCTGAAGAACCAAACTGTGCTTGCGATCAGTTCCGCTGTGGCAACGGGAAGTGTATACCAGAAGCCTGGAAATGTAATAACATGGACGAATGTGGAGATAGTTCCGATGAAGAGATCTGTGCCAAAGAAGCTGGTCCCCCAACGGCTGCTTCTTTTCAGCCCTGTGCCTACAACCAGTTCCAGTGTCTGTCTCGGTTTACCAAGGTTTACACTTGCCTCCCTGAGTCTTTAAAATGTGATGGCAACATTGACTGCCTTGACCTAGGCGATGAGATAGACTGTGATGTGCCAACTTGTGGACAGTGGCTAAAATATTTTTACGGTACTTTCAATTCTCCCAACTATCCAGACTTTTATCCTCCTGGAAGCAATTGCACCTGGTTAATAGACACTGGTGATCATCGTAAAGTCATTTTACGCTTCACTGACTTTAAACTTGATGGTACTGGTTATGGTGATTACGTCAAAATATACGATGGATTAGAGGAGAATCCACACAAACTTTTGCGTGTGTTAACTGCTTTTGATTCTCATGCACCTCTTACAGTTGTTTCTTCTTCTGGACAGATCAGGGTACATTTTTGTGCTGATAAAGTGAACGCCGCAAGGGGATTTAATGCAACTTACCAAGTAGATGGCTTCTGTTTGCCGTGGGAAATACCCTGTGGGGGTAACTGGGGGTGTTACACAGAACAGCAGCGTTGTGATGGGTATTGGCATTGCCCAAATGGAAGGGATGAAATAAATTGCACCATGTGCCAAAAGGAAGAATTTCCCTGTTCCCGAAATGGTGTCTGTTATCCTCGTTCTGATCGCTGCAACTACCAGAATCATTGCCCAAATGGCTCAGATGAAAAAAACTGCTTTTTTTGCCAGCCAGGAAATTTTCATTGTAAAAACAATCGTTGTGTGTTTGAAAGCTGGGTGTGTGATTCCCAGGATGACTGCGGTGACGGCAGCGATGAGGAGAATTGCCCCGTAATTGTGCCTACCAGAGTCATAACTGCAGCCGTCATAGGCAGCCTTATCTGTGGCTTGTTACTGGTCATTGCATTGGGATGTACCTGTAAGCTTTATTCTCTGAGAATGTTTGAACGAAGGTCAGTATCAAGACAAAATTGTAGTGGTTATGGCTTCTGCAGTAAACATGGCCCCAGTATTTGCAACCGTTCTTTAGTGTGATCAGCAGTATACTTTGGTCTCATACTATTTTGGGAAATAGATAAATATCTTTTATGATTTATAAAATCAGTGTGAAAAGGCTAAGACTCAAGAGGCTAAACACATAAAAACTAATACTTAGATGGGGCACCTGGGTGGCTCGGTCATTAAGCATCCGACTTTGGCTCAGGTCATGATCCCGCAGTTTGTGAGTTAGAGCCCCACATCAGACTCTCTGCTGACAGCTCAGAACCTGGAGCCTGCTTTGGATTCTGTGTCTCCCTCTCTCTCTGCCCCTCCCCCACTCACACTCTGTTTCTCTCTCCTTCAAAAATAAACAAACATTTAAAAATATATTTTAAAAACTAATAAATACTTAAGAACTGGTATTTACTAGTTTTTGTTTTCAGATTATTTTGTAGGAATTTTGCAAGCTGCAATATTCAGTTGTAGTGTTTTAACCTGTGTTTTTATAAGTAAGAATTCAATTCTAAATATTTGAGAACCTACTAGGTTCAAAGCACAATACGGATGAGTAGAAAAATGAATAAGGCATAATTTCACAGGCACCGTACAGTTAGGAGGAAGGCATTGGTGAATGGAATAAGATGACAAAAATATAAATGGTAGAAAAGCTGTAAAACAAAGTATAGAGGAAAAGTCAAAAGTTAACCTAATCTGATGGGGGGGAATGGAAAGGCTTTTATTGAACAAGTGCCATTTGAAATCTACAAGTAGAATGTAGACAGGGAAAAGATACTGTAGTTGAAAAAAATAGCCTGGGAAAATGCATAAAAGTAGGAATGCCTAGCATTGCTTGGAGAAGTATCACATACTTCATTTCATCTGGAGCCTAAGATACATATCAAGGGCTAAAAGTTAAAACTTGGAACATGGGGTTAGTGTCTCAGGTCCATGACAGCCGTGTGTCAAGAGTTCTCAGTTAAGTCAGAAATGTTAAGTATTAAAAGGTGACCTTCAGGGAGGGTTTTCTTCCACGTGGTGCGGGATAGATTGGACTTGGGAGAAGCTAATGGCAGAGAGAGGTCCCTTAGGACACTGTTGTAGAGACAGTGACCCTCAGTCCCAGGAGAATTACAAATAATAGATTCAACAAAAGACTTCATATACCCAACAGGTAAGCTAATAGATACACGCAGATGCACAGTATCAAAGTAATCATGCTGCCTCTTTGGCCACAAAACTTTTGACTACATTGCAGCATAAAAGCTCAGTGAAGAGTCAGAGGTCTTATAAGAACAAGCTATTCCAGAAAGTGTACTGGTGACTCATTCATTCTTTTCCTCATCTAAAAACTAAATGTGTTGAACTTGATGATTACTTTCACCTAAAGTCTCAAACCTCTTATGTCCTTAGGGCTTTAAAGATCTAATACATTTACCTTTTATGGGAATTTCTAATTCACTAAAACTTAGTGATCCAGGCTCCTAAGTGAAAGCCCCATGGCTTTTTGCCTTTGTATTCTCAGTGTCAGAATGCTATAGATATCCAATAAATGTTAGTTGGCTAAGCTTTAAAAATGGTCAAATATATTAAGGTTCAGATTTTTTTCATTGTTGATTTAAAAAATTATTTTAGCTTGCCTTTTTAACCTTTTCTGTTCCCCTATTTTCTCTAACAGGTCATTTGAAACACAGCTGTCAAGAGTGGAAGCAGAACTGCTGAGAAGAGAAGCCCCTCCCTCTTATGGACAGTTGATTGCTCAGGGTTTAATTCCACCAGTTGAAGATTTTCCTGTTTGTTCACCTAATCAGGTATTTGCAATTTATGATTTCTGTTTCCTAAAATGAATTCTATATTTGTATATATGATAAAGGACCTTTGTCATAATTCTTGTAGTCAAGGATTATTAAATATATGGAGGATTTGAAATTATGTTTCATTGTATTTTAACAAATGCTACAAAATACCAAATGTTTTCATTTTTCTGATTTTGTTATGTGATTCTTAAGCATTTTACTATTTATGATAATTTGGTGCATTAAAATTCAGAAGTAAAGTTTAGTAAGTTATTTTCTGTTTGAACTAAACATCTAGAAGATTTAAGAATGAACGTTAAAATTAATACATTAGTAATCTGCTAGATTAATGAGTTAATAAGTAAAAGTAAATTGCAATGAAGTTAACATTTCTACCTGACTAGAGGGAAAACTTTTGTTCACAGCCAGATTTTACGGTGTTTAAGAATTCATACCGTTTTTTTTTTTTTAACAGTAACTAGTAATATATCAGTAATTAGATTAACTAGTTAACAATAAAAGTAATTGCAATGAAGTTAACATTTCTACCTGACTTGAGGGAAAACTTGACAGCCGGATTTTACACTGTTTAAGAATTCATATCATTTTCTTTAAATAGTAACTCATTATTTTATTAATGTTTCCGAATTCTTTAAAGTTCTATTAACACTATTTTGGGGCTCCTTGGTGGCTCAGTTAGTGAAGCATCAGGTCATGAACTCATGGTTCGTGAGTTTGAGCCCCAGATCCGGTCAGCTTGAGCCCCTCTTCAGGCTCTGCAGTGACAGTGAGGAGCCTGCTTGGGATTATCTCTCTCTCCCTCTCTCTTCCTCTCTTTCTGCCCCTTGCTCACTCTCACTCTCTCTCTCTCTCAGAACTAAATAAATTTAACAAAAATATAAAAAATTAAAATTAAATAAAGTCCTATTAGCATTTTTTTAAAAACTTCTTTCTCAATGCCTAAAGTATACCAGGGTTCATAAAGACATAAGGGTGTATACATTTAAAATGTAAATTCATTTAGAAATATTTATAAAAATTGATAAACATTATTTTCCCAGTGATTTAATTCTGTGCAAAATGGAAGACCGTTTTCTTTCTGGTAGATATGATTTCTGACTACAGTCTGTCACCTTTATTTGAGTCTTTTAAGAAATATTGGTGAGAATTTATAGTTTTAAGAACATTTCTCTAGATGTACCTTGCTAAGTAAATAATTCAGAAGTTCCACTGGTCAGAATTTTGTGTGCAAAATAAGAGAAAGCCACACATTCTCAGCCCTGCCAGGTGGCCAGTTTCTTTTTAGGTGGGAGCTCCAACAATGGTCGGCTCCGCCCACCTGGTCTACCATCTGCCATCTGCCACCTACCACCCCTATGCCCCGAAGCTCCTCCAAGAGTTCAGTTAACTGTGGAGTTAAAGAAAGCACAGTCCACACCAAACAGGTCTCATCTTTACAGAAATTATAAGTTCTGAGGTTCCCAAAATGATTTTCAGTTTTGACTGTTCACTAGATGGACTCAGAACTCACTGAAAGCTCTTATACTCAGCGGTATGGTTAATTACAGGGAAAAGACCTAAATTAATTCAGCCAAAGAATAAGACCCCTGGAACAGGGTTCAGGAGGGTGCCAAACCCAGATCTTCCAGCTGTCCTCTCCCCACAAAGTCGAGACAGTGTTACACTCTCAACACGGGTGTGTGACAGTGTGCACAGAATATTGCCAACTAGGGAGCTCGCCTGAGACACAGCCTCCAGAGTTTTTACTGTGGCTCCACCATGCAGGCATGATTAACTGCGCATGTGGCTGATCTCAGTCTCTACCCCCTGCACACTGACTGATCCTGCGGAGTCCAGTGCCCACCCTACATCACACTGCTCGTGTGGCTTAGAGCCTCCACCTTAGACACAGCGTTATCTGTATCTGGCTGGCCCCGGGCCCCAGGCCCCAGGCTAGGACACTCCTGTCAGAGATGATGCTGTAAGGGCTCAGAGATCACATCCCAGAAGCAGATGGCAAAGGTCAGACCTCACTCTGAATAACATTTAATTCTTTACTACATACTACGCCATTCTTTAGGTTTATAGTTTAGCCTTATGAGGGAATTATACTTAACAAAGTTTTAAAATAAAATGTTTATGAATAGTAAGCTAGATTTTATTCCATTTATGAGATTAAACTTTCAAATTTCAAACTTTTGGTAACACATTATCAATTTGTTATTAATTATCAATTATTATTTTCCTTAAAAAGAAAAAGAATATTCTAAATTCCCATCCCATTCAAAAATAGAAATGCTTTCTGAAGAATGCTTTTCTTCTTCATAAACTGAAGAAGTATGTAAAATTATCCCTAAAACATTAGGAATCTAATGTTAAATTAATTTTAATTAAACAGACTTTTAACTCTAAGTAGAGAACTTCACTATGACGGACTCTAATGTGAAAGTGAGCGTTGTTGATCTCGATGGGTGATAGCTGAATAAAAGGAAAGCTTATCTGAAGAGCCTTCTGTTCACTGCTGGGTATAACATAGTACTCACATGAAAGCCTTAGAACTCAAATGCTAAATGGTGAGGACCACATCTATGGAGAAATTCCTTAGGGATGTGAACCGGTTTTTGTTTGTTTGTTTGTTTTTTAATATAAAATTAGATACTTCTTAATTGGTGAAAAATCTGACTCATTTGTATAGCAAATCTGTGTATGCTGATCTTCAGATTTCTTATTGACAGTCCGTGCCAGATTATTAAATATTCCTATAACCGTAGTTCCTTTGCTTTCTGTGAATTATATTCCTGAGATTATGTTCAAAAGGCCTATGTGGGACTTACAAGTAAGTTTAATACCCATCTTGAAGAGAGGTGGAGAACACATGCTATCAAGGGAAACTCTTTTCTTCTGTGAAGGGAAAGGGAGAGCCGTTCGTTTTGGCAGGGTGAACTTATAGCATCATTGGAAAGGGAATATGTCAACTCACCATTTTTTCCTGGAAATACTGTATTTTAAATACCAAATGCCACAGATGAAAGCTGTGTTCCAAGTTTGAATACTCCTTTTTATAACCACTAGATGGAGCTTAAAGACTGTTTTATATAAATGTTGTATGTTTTTAAAATAACCCATTAATGTATTCATCTAGGAAAATGAGTAAATTTTCAAAGAATAAGGGTGTGAAAATTTATGCTTAATGCTATGCTGTAGAAAATAAAACCTAATCTTTAAAGATTGAGAAGAGTCCAAATGTCTCAAATACCTTTGTGTTGTAGTGCTATAAAAAAATTAATCTTAAACTTTGTTTCCTGTGCTGTATTATAAATTAATTAACTCTCTTATTTATGACAGTATAAATCAATCTTCACTACCCATTCATTCAACAAATCCTTGAGAACCAGCTGTGAAATATATATATATAACTTTACTATGTTTGGGAAAGTTTCAACCTTGTAAATCAAGTCTGACTTGTTCTGTGTTTAAAAACAAGAAAGGCATAAACCAGATAAAGAGCCTAGTTTACATTCCTAGCTAAAGCAGTGTCAAATAATTTTGTCCCTTTGGCACACTTTTAGAATTGGATTACAGCGTCCAGTTTTGAAATAAAATAGTTGTTGTAATTGATATGAAACATCACTCTAAAGTTGTATGTATAAAATGCAGTGTCAGGAAAATCTTAAGTGAGCAATGGTACGAGTTATAGATTAGATTCTGTGGTAGGTGAACCTTTACAGATGAGAGAATTGAATTCATCCTTCATAGACTCTAATGATGAGTAATAATGTCTTTACCCACAACACGTTCTTGTTAGAAGCATGTTTTCTGTGTTAATACTTCATTGTTAGCGATCTTAAGATCTCCTCTTATTTTCTGTAGGCTTCTGTTTTGGAAAACCTGAGGCTGGCAGTACGATCTCAGCTTGGATTCACTTCGATCAGGCTTCCAATGGCAGGCAGATCCAGCAATATTTGGAATCGTATTTTTAATTTTGCAAGATCACGTCATTCAGGGTCGTTGGCTTTGGTCTCAGCAGATGGAGATGAGGTTGTCCCTAGTCAGAGTACCAGCAGAGAACCTGAAAGAAGTCATGCTCACAGAAGTTTGTTTTCTGTGGAGTCCGACGACACAGACACAGAAAATGAGAGAAGAGATACGGCAGGAGCATCTGGTGGGGTTGCAGCTCCTTTGCCCCAAAAAGTCCCTCCCACGACAGCAGTAGAAGCAACAGTGGGAGCAAGTGGAAGTTCCTCAACTCAGAGTACCCGAGGTGGTCACACAGATAGTGGAAGGGATGTGACAAGTGTAGAACCCCCAGGTGTGAGTCCTGCGAGGCACCAGCTCACAAGTGCACTAAGTCGTATGACTCAGGGGCTGCGTTGGGTACGTTTTACATTAGGGCGATCAAGCTCCGTAAATCAGAACCAGAGTCCTTTGAGACAGCTTGATAATGGGGCAAATGGAAGAGAAGAAGATGATGATGTTGAAATGCTAATTCCGGTTTCTGATGGAGCTTCAGACTTGGATGTGAATGACTGCTCCAGACCTCTTCTTGATCTTGCCTCGGAGCAAGGACAAGGGTTTAGACAACCATACAGCGCAGCGAACCCTGGAGCGAGGCCAAGTAATCGAGACGGCCCCTGCGCGCGCTGTGGCGTCGTCCACACTGCCCAGATCCCAGACACTTGCTTAGAAGCAACACTGAAAAATGAAACAAGTGATGATGAGGCTTTGTTACTTTGTTAGGTACGGATCACAGCGAGCGAGGCCATGTACGAGTCGGAGCAGCATCCGTTCGTTGTTTTGTAAACTTCACAATTAAACTAGTTTTAATTTAAAAGCAAAAAAGATGCAGGGTGATTTCTTATTATTATATATTAGCCTGCATGGTTAAATTAAACAACTTGTAACTCTATGAACTTTAGAGTTTACTATTTTAGCAGCTAAAATTGCATTATGTATTCATATTGTTCAATAATGTTCTTCCATTCGTTTTAATTGTTTTTATCCTGGTACTGTAGTTCACAGTAGAAGTATGGCTGCTGACTCATTCAGCTGTCAGTTTATCTATCCTATGTTAAAACATTTGTTTGTACAAAATAATACCTTCTTCTCATTGAACCCTTTATGCTTTTTGCCATTACATCTTGTAACTTAATATATCACATTTCAAGGTGGTTAATGTACAAAAAAAAAAGCCCCTTATATTCACCTGAGTTTTTATTTAGGTAACATCTGTCTAAATATTATTGGATTTCATCATAATATGAGCTTTCTCAAAGGGAAAAACCTTTGTCTACAAATTTTTCTCTTACATTTAACATTCTGTGATGTGAAATTTAGATAGAGTTAGAAAAATTAATGGCAAAAGTGAAACTCTTTTATAGATTTTCTAATGTTGACTTTAATACTCTAATATGGTACAGACCAAATGGTAAAATCCCAAGTCATTTCTTTTTTCATCCCTATTTCGGGACAGAATTAAGCAGATGAAGATATTCTACTATGCATTAAATCTTGAACTTTATAAAAAATGTACAAAAATTGTACAAGATAAGTTCCAACTGGTAATGTCCTTCCCTGGTATAGGGTGATGCTTGTATTGGACCCTAGGGATTTGCACTAACGTCATGTCAAGGTCACAGATGAGTTCAGTGCACAAGCACTATCACTTTCAATACTGTCATTTGCTACCACAATGACTATATATTTCCATAGCTTTGGGGGGGGCGTTTTTATTACAACTTGAAATTGCTTTGCTGGTTTCATATTTATTTGTTGTATTTAAAGACTGCATTATTGTAAGAGTGGTTTTCGATATATTTTATTCACTGCGGGGGAGGATCATGCTACACGTCAGAAAGCAAATTACGAAATCATTCAGATCCTCCCCCCTTTTTTAAGTAGAATGAATTGCAAACCCCGCATATTTTTTTATTGTCTATTCTTGTTTATTTATTCTTTAGCTGTCTGTTTTAATAGCTTAATGATTGAGTATGAAATATGTATTTGTGTGGGATTATTGCTATTTATTAAATTTTCAATATTTTGCTGAATGTCATTTTAAAGCATGTTTGAGGTCTTGTGTATTTGTCGTGTTATGCTGTCAGAAAGAACTGACTGAAATGTTTTAATATGTATCAAAAATTAAAAATCACTTTTTTTGTATTGCCTTGAGGTACTTTTTAAATCAGAGTTGCTCTTTATTTTTGTTGCATTTTGGTGCACGTGCAGATTGAGGCCGTAAAATACTGCACTGTGTCTAGAAGAACATTGAAGGGCAGGCAGTCTTCTTCAGAGTAAGGTGGTAGCTTATACCAGCACTTGAGGGTAAAAATTCCTAAGGAGCTGAATATATTTGCCTTTGAGAAAACTTCTTAATTAATGTTTCTTATAAGATGCAATAACTCAATTAGTTCTCCTTGTATGATTTTCAGATGCATTTCAAACCCGTATAGAATATTTTCCTAGCAGAATTTGTATCACCAAATTAATCTTATTTAGGTCCTACTAATAATATACTATATTGTATAGGTTTCTTGGTTTTGTTTCCTGGCATTTCTATTTTAATTTCTTTCTATAATTAACTAACATTTTCCTGGTTCAAACAGTAAAAGGTGAGTCTCTCCCCTTCCCTGACACCCATCTTTTTGTTCCCTTCCAAAGAGACAAGTACCAATACCAAATTCTGTATACCCCTCCAAAGGTACCATGTAAATCTATAAATGTGTCCATATATATATAAATGCCATATATAATAATACAAATTGTAACCTACTATGCATCCTTTGTACTTTTTTTAAGGGAAAAATGTTTCTATTTAAGTTTGAATATTAAAACTAAAGTTGGGTATTTCTTTTATTTCAATTTTCCCACTTAAATCACAATCAATCCGGAATTTAAGGCTCCATTTTTTCCCCCGTTAATTTTATCCTGCAGCTCTTTATTAAATAATACATTCTTTCCTTACTATTTGAAATGACACTTTTATCATAGAATTTATATACTACTTGGATATGTTTCTAGACTCCAATTCTATTCTCTTCAATTGATCTACCCTTCTCTTTTTATACTAGCCCTACACTGTTTTAATAACTGTAGTGTTTAAATGTTTTAAATATTCTTGCTTATTTTTCCATTTGAACTTTAGAATTGACCTACTCAAGTCTCACAAAACAAGTCCCATTAGTATGTGGGTTTTTTGAACCATTTTTTTCCTTAATGTTTATTTATATTAGAGAGAGACAAAACATGAGCGGGGGAGGGACAGAGAGAAGGAGACACAGATTTTGAAGCAGGCTCCAGGAAACAACGTGTCAGCACAGAGCCCGACGTGGGACTCGAACTCAAGAACTGAGATTATGACCTGAGTCGAAGTCAGACAACCAACTGAGCCACCAAGGTACCCCTAGACAATTTTAATTTTTATAGATTAACCTAGGGAAATTTGACATCATTATCATGTTAAAGCTTCTGTCTAAATCATGGTACCTATGTAAAAATGGTGCCCATTCATTCTTTTTGTGGTTGTTTCCTTTAGACATGTTTCGCATTTTACTTTATAGAGATCATCTTCGTTCTTAAGAGTTTATTCTTAGGACTTTCAGTGTTTTTGTTATCAATATTAAGGAAGTCCTTTTTTATAATTCAATCTGCGTTTAGTATATGTTAAGCCTAATGATTTCTTTACATTAATTTTCTCCACAGCTACCAGACTACCATTTTCTTATAGCTAGTAATATTTTTTTCTTTTGTGTTCTCTAGTTACACAATCATATTTTCCAGTTTGCATACCTCTTTACATTTTAATTGCATTGTCTAGTACTTCTAGAATAATGTTAAATATATCAGTCAATCATGTTAAGGAGAATCAATTGATCCACCGATCTCTATATTTAAAAAAAACTTAACCAAGAATGCATGTTGAATTTTATCACATGCCTTTTCACTATTGGAGATGATCATATGATTCTCTCCTTTGATCTTTTCATACGTTGAATTTTATTAATATATTTTGTAACTTTGAACCATTCTTGCATTCCTGAAATGAACTACTTGGCCATGTGTATATTTTTAATATACTGCTACGTTATATTTTATTTAGCATATTTGCAACTGTATTCATCAGTGATATTAGTCTGTAGTTTTTATATGTGTGTGCTGTCTTTAAGAAGTTTGGTTTTTAGTTTTATGCTGGTGAATTTGAAAACTTCCTTTTCCTTTGGTCCAGAACAGCTTAAATTGCATTGGACTATTCTGTTCCTTAAAATTTCAGTGAAATGATCTGATGGATGTTTGGCTAGTAGCTCTTTAACAACTTTGTTGCTATCTTCTGTAGTAATTGGTCTGTGTAGTTTTTATGTCTTAGCTGACATCATAAATCTTCCATTTCATCCAAGTTTACAAATTTAGTTGCATAGCGTTGAGCAAAGTTATCTCTTTCTCTTTTGTGCATATGGCTCTCCCTTGTGTATTATGTTTGCCCTATTATCTTCTTAAATAAGATAGCTAACAGTTGACATTTTGAACTTTTTGTTTGTTTCTCCCAGAGTGGTATGTTTTGAATATCTCTATTCTATAATTTTTCTGTTTTCCAATTAACTGACTTCCACTTTAATAAATTTCCTACTTTTTGCTCTCCTTAGTTCATTTGTTGTTTTTTCCCTGACTCCTTGAGTTAGCACTTCATTCATTCATTTTTATTTTCTAATTATTAATGTAAGATTTAAGGTGTAGACAATTCTGAGCACTGTTTAAGCTGAATTACTTAGATGTATTGGTGTTGTCATGACTCATATTCTAGGTATTGTGATATTTCAGTGTTTATTTCTACTTTAATCCAAAAGTTGTTTTACAGAAGGAAATTTTTTTCCTTTTTTCTTTTCTTTGTTCCTTTTTTCCTCAGATAATGGAATTTTGGTGTGAATAGTAGTTTTGTTTTCTGATTCTTACATTAATTTTCATTTTTATGGCATCAAGATCAGAAAATGTTATATGTATTATTTGGGGAGATTTGAGTTTCTTGTCCTTTCTCATTTTTTTTAAGTGTTCCAGGAACACTGTTAAGTACATTCTCTGTTTATGGATACAGATTTTAGTAGATATTACTCAGATTATCATGACATAGTACTTTGTCTTGCCTTATCAGTCCGTCAGTCAGGGCTCCAGGATTAGTTTGGAAGAGACTAGAAACCAAGGAGGCTGTGTTAGGATTCTTTGGGCCAGCAGCCCTGCCTAAACGCTTGTCATCAGCTGGGACTGAGAACATAAGCACAGGATGAAGGAGAGTCTTTCTACAAGCTCTGGAGTTTCAGTTTCTACCATTGCTACCCCCATCATCCACTGTTCAGCTGGAAATAAATGGGTGAGACAGGTTAAAAGGACAAGGAAAAAGGTACTATACATTCAATTTGCTAGGTATTTGTTGAGTACCTACCACAAACCTATTGATGATGACGGTGATGATAAGAGCTCCATTCTAGCTGCTTGCTGGTTCCTTCACGCCCTTGCCCCTGAACTTCAAGGGAGACAATGACAGCAACTTCATAGGACCTGTTTTACTTACCCTGTGTAAAAATTGATAGGCAGTAGAGAGGTTGGTTCTTGGAGTAACTGCACCCTCGTTCAGAAATAGCACACAAATTACAAGTTGCATGTGGCTACTACCAGGGGCTGGAAGTTGGCTGATTACATCTTTTTCTGAGGCCCTCAACATTCAAGGTAGAATGAGGCAAAGTAAAATTCGC